TACAAAATAACTGAAAAATGTATTAACAGTTTTGAAGGGCATAACATCAGTTTCAGTTACTGACACTGGTGATGTATCACCACTATGCTAAAAGAATTGAACATGAATAAAATAAAAGTATTCTTGAATAGTACTATAGATAAATAAACCTGTTTATGACAAACCAAGCACTTAGTTCCTAATATATTAACCTGTATAGCAAGGTCGAACTTCAGTTATGTACTATTGAATGAGAGGACCAATTGAACTTGATTACTGATTAATCTTCCTTTGTTTAAATTGAAGAGTCAAACAATATTAATAAAACATTATACTTTTAAAAACAAATATTGACTAGTATATATAATTATCAATATGTTATTAGTTCTATGTTTATTATACCTCTTAAATATTGTTCAGCCAAAATTGTGACATAATTCGAGTAAAAGGGTTTTGGACAGTTTAAGAAAGTTTTGGACAAAGGGGTTTTGAACAGGACTGTTTAAACCAGGGTTTAAACCGTGGATTATTCCATTCTGTCCTAAACCTTGCCAACCCTATGAACCCATGCTGGAAATGCTGTCGTTTGCAGCTAGGGGTGCTTCCCAATTATGACCAGACCAAGAAACAGATCATAAATTGGAAATACTCCTAGTAGCTTATGGCGACATTTCCGGGCATGGGTTCATATTCAATTTCAATCCTGAAAATGTGTTTTAACTCCTCTAAGAGTGTGGCACAACATTTATGCAACCCCTCATTCATCTAACATTTTCAAAATTGCACATTTTGCCGAAGAATACACTAAAAATGTAATTTAATAGTAAAAAAAACCATAGCTATAGGAGAAAAACTCATCTCAAATATCTGAAATCTCCACATCCAAATTAGGCAAGTTCAAGAGTTTGTATTGTGCAAAAAATTCATTCACCAGTGTTATCTCTTATCTGTAACGCTTAAATATATGTTATACATTATTCTAAATATGCATTTTCAGTTAATGCTCAACTGCAAACACAGCATTTTTATTGCATCCATTGACATTCATGTGAAGAATTGTACCCACTAAAAACTAGAACATTGTTTCTTGGTAAAACTAATATTAAAAGTAGTTGCCTGGAATCACTACAGACTTTTGCAATGCTCTTAGTCACTGCACTACTTTTTCAAACATTTACGAGACCCCTACTATACATAACATTTTCAGACTTATACATTTTGAAAAGAATAGACTAAAACTGTCATTTAATAAAAGAAATGCAGCTTTAGGAGCAGAGTAATTTCAGATTTCAAAAACATACATCCAAATTCAAGAGTATATATAAATTTGCAAGTAGAAAAAATTTGTTCACCAGTGCTATCTGCTATTTTAAATGTATTAGTTATATTTCTTGTCAACATTCAGGGGCATTTTCTTTACACCCATTGACGGACCAGTGAAATTTTTTAACTATCAAATTCGAAAAATTAGTTACGATAGAACCTTGTTTCCCTGCTAAACTAACGTTAAAATTAGTAGCCAAGAATCGCTATAAACTACTGATTTTTGAATCCCACAGCTCACTACATTACTTTTTAAAAAAAAATAGTTAGCAAGCACGTGAAATCAAGAAATAAAACTAACCTCCTTGATTTTATTCCTTTTTTCTCTAATGTCAGGATCAGCTGGTTCTCCACCTCTGGTTCCAGGACCACCTGGATGATCCCTGACGATGTCATTTAACTCGGATGATTTTCTGTCAGTCATTGGAATGTTCACAACATTATTGACCCACTGTTCTTGTGGATCATTGCTCTTATGCTCTAAATTTTTGGACGCAGTAGATTGCAATAGTTCATTTTTTGGCAATGGGTTCTCTACCTGAGCCTTATCCATGTTTTCTTTCATATTCTTCTGTCTCTCTTTTTCTAAATCATCTTGGATTTTGAGAATAAGTTTAGCTCGATCCATTATTAGATGAGGATCAACATTGTTGACATCATGCGGCCGAAAAACATTTTTGTCGACGACTTGAAGAGGTGGTAAAAGAAGATCGGATCCCGCATCTCTGAGTTGGCGATAAGCAGTGTTGATAGTAGAGCCCGAGCGAAGCTCTGGTAAAAAGAAAAATGTTCCAATACACACAGCCACGAAAGTCCCTAGAACAAGCAATACTATGTATTTTTCTCGAAGTCGAAGAGTTTTACGGCCACCGGCAGTAACAGGAGCTCCATTGATATAACGTTGATAGGTTGGTAATAGAGCATTGGTCGCCATTTTACATACCAGCTGGAGAAAAGATTGATAAATAAACTGAAAGTGAAAAGTTTTCTATAAATAACGACAGATGGCGCTAAGAAGGAAGTTGACTGTACTGCCAGATGCATGAATTAAGATTTCGCTGCTCTTCCGAGTTATTGCTTTTAGCTTACTAATATTTCATTGGGAGTTTTCACGCAGGGCACCTTATGGATCATTCTCACTGAATGTGATTCGTTATCTATGCGATCATTAGCAATCGAAATGGGCTGCAGGTGGCGTAGAGCAGAACTCTTTTCCTATGGCAACACTTCACATGCTTTCCCCATTAGCTTCCCCATTTCTTTCCCCATTTCCCCATTTATATTGAAATCTTTTAACTTGAAAAACTATATGGAACTGAAAACTACATTAAACATAGTTCTAAAGAAAAGTATCATAGAAATTTTAAAAAATATTTTTATTAAATAAAAAGGAAAAATATTAAGAAAAGGGAATTATTGTAGTACATTCCTATACAACTGAAAAGAGGAAGAGAGGGAAGGGAGAAGGGCTAAATGCATGAAACCGGTCTCTCCCCAGATGGCGTATTTGAGTGTTGCGATCGCGAATAGGTCGCTTAGGTCACGTCACTATTCCCCGGAGTCTATTCTATTCGCGATCGCAACGAACTATAGGAGGCGTTGTTGTATGAGACGGATACCAGCGATTTCCATATGAACAGTGATTCAGTAAAATGTACCAATTCCCACAACATGAAACCAGGGCCGGATTGAAGCTTGGCTGGGCCCTAAGCTATTGAAAATGATGGGGCCCTTATAAGTTCAATTCGATTTCTATACACTTAAAGTAAACTGTCTTGTTTTTCATTGCTGAGTATTAACATTATGTTATAAAAAAAATCGTAGAACCATTCTTCTATTGCAAATAATTTTTGAACGAGGAAAAATGAGTTACAACAGAAACACATTTTAAGATCATCATAAGCACAGAATAAACATTTGGTGTGTTGGAAGGGCCATTCGCGATCGCAACGAACTATAGGGGGCGTTGTTGTATGAGACGCATACCTGCGATTTCTATATGAACCGTCATTCAGTTACTCTGGAGACGTCGTTAATGTAGCGTGTAGCATTGCAACGTTCCTTCTTTAATGTNTCAAAATCTATAAGACTTAAAAACATGAAATTATGGAGGTGTGTAGAAAATATGTAAGGAGTTTAGAAAGAATACAAGAAAATACAATTTGATTATTAGTTTTATTTCATTAAAAACGCCGTTGAACAACCGACTTAATTTTGAGTTCATAAATACCAACCTTTAACTCCGTAGCCTTGTAATTTTGAACCCAATCCAGAAGACAAGGGAACTCCTGGATGAGGAATTCATTTATGAGAACTTTGTGACCCCAACAGATTTAACTTGCACCAGCCTCCATTTTATACACGGGTATTCTTCAACCAGCTGGATTA